AGTTTCACATCGAATATCATTTGCACAGTTTACTAAATTCATCTCATTTTTATCCAGTCGTCACTTATTTGCATTATGCCTATAAATAATAAAATTCGTAAGACACATGTAGGACTAATGAGAACCGTGTGACTAATATAGAATTATGATTAAAGTGACCAACGTGGATATTTTTTTGAACGGTGTGACCAGTGTGACCAGTGTATGAGGAGAGAGAAACACGAGGAGAGAGAAATGCGAAGAGAGAGAAACACGAGGAGAGAGAAACGTGAAGAGAGAGAAACACGATGAGAGAGAAATACGTGGAGAGAGAAATGTGAGAAGAGATAAATGTGAGGATAGAGAAATATAAATTAATGAATTAAAAAAAAGGTATAAGGGTATAATGAGGAGAACATATTTATAAAGGTATTGTGTGAAATTGTTTTTTTTTTCAGAAAGTGAAGGGTACGTAGTGAAGTCTTTGTAGCAAAGTAAAGACATTTTTTATTTGTAGAAAAAATTATTATTTTTTAATTTTTTTTCGAAACATATTTCAAATTAGACTTCAACATCCATAAAAGTGATGTCTTCTAATATTTGCAGTTTTTTTTAATCATGGTTTTGTGAAAATGTTGCCATTTTAAAAAAAGTTATTATTTCCACATTTTTATAATAATGGGTTTATGGAAATGTTACCATTTTTAAAATTTTGATCCTTTCATATGCCATATTTTAAAACAATCTATAAGACGGAGGGTGATCGCCGGTACGAGAAGTACAGATAAGAAACGGTTCCTGACGAGCTTCTGGATAGGGAAAACATGGATAAATCGAACACATTGGAATGAGAGGGATCCGATGGCTATGTAGGTATGAGACTACAAAGTAAAAAATAACTTAAAAGAATTGATTAAGATACTCATAGCAACAAGATGCATCTACCTTTTCGGTTAACTATCTCGAGAGAATTTCAAAGTTAAATGTGATCGTTTTGGAGTAGTCTTAGGATGAGTGACCTCTTGGGAAGTACTATCTGGAATGTGTGCGAGTGAGGATAAAACACGCTAAAAGATCTCGTGTTGATATGTAAGGACAGTTTTGACATTCTGTAACGGTATCGGGACGGTTGTAATGCAAATGATAATATTTAATTTAACAACGGTACAATCATCTATAATGATAAGCATAATTAGTACTTGTGATAAAAAGAAGTATATACCGAATGATCCCAAATAGTACATAATAATTGATAGATTTTTAAAATCAAATTAACTCTTTTGTCGTTTGCTATTTTTAGGTGAAATGACAGAAAGTTTCTTAAATTAGTTAAAAATCACATAATTTTAGAACGCAAAACCGGTGGTCTCATGAAATATATAATTAATAGTCCGAAGTACAATTATGTCGACATCGTGTTGTTATGCTTGTTTTTTTAATTACTCATTTTATCATAAGATTCTCCGGAAATGAAATACAAAGCCACATGGTCTTAAAGGGAAATTTTCCTTGGATGACAAAATTTATTATGAAGATTTATTAAATTTATGGAGAGTATATACGAATTAATTAGCCTACCCATCGTCATTGATTGATGTGCATTTAGATAATGGTGAGACAAGTCTCATGAAATTATTCAATTTGATGGAATATACGATTTTTAAATGTTTAGATAACTCGATGATAATTTTGTATTTCGCGAGCGAAATCATCCATTTACATTTGATTAAAACATAGAAATATTACAAATATTTTTATTTTATTAATATTAAAATATTTTTTTAGAGTTTTTAATCTTTTTAAAATTTAGTTATACATGAATATCTAAATATTTTATCTTCAAGTTGAGATTTTGAAAAAAATAAAGATACCGAAAAATATAAATATAAATATATATCCACAATTTGGAAACACAAGTTCTGCGCATATGTTGATTTATTTAATTCAAAATATATTCAAATTTAAATAGTCTAAAAAAAATTCAGATATCCTTCTTAACTTAACAAAGAGTCGTAATACTTCTAATAGAAATGATAATTTAAAATAGGGTGTCAATCAGACAGATCCGATCCGAATTCATAAGTTTTGGGTTCGGATTTAGATCGATCCGGTTTTTTTGGACTATATAGTTAAACTCGAAACATATTTTAGATTCGGATCGAGTTGGATCGGACCGGACTGGCCCATATAATTTTCTTTACAAATGTTATTTTTTTTATCTTTTTCATTTTTTAAAAAAATATCAAATTTTCAGATCGGTTCAAATCAAGTCCGAAGTTCGATTTGAGTTCAGCCCAAAAGATCAATTTTTTTTGGATCAAAAAATTTAGAGACGAAACTTACTAATTTTCAGATTAGATCGGGTCGAACCTCGGATCTCCAGACTAAATTTGACACCCCTAATCCAAAGATATCAATCATTTCAATAGTGGGTCATAACTTTAAATTAGTGGGTTATAACTTTATTTAAGCAACATTATGCCAAAAAAAAATAATTGCAAAAATGTTTGACTAATTCTTTGGTTGAACTGCTTTCTATATGTAAGGCTATTTCCTTACCGGTCAATTTCATATATGGCCCACGTGGCTGTCACTCTTCCTAGGATATAGACTTAAAAGACATTTTTCCTTTTGTCGTTTTTTTTTCTCATGTCAGAAAATTTTAATTGTAGATTAAAAAGCCGCGCACCCAATAAGATAACGTTTGTACATTTAAAATTTCGAATCCATTTCGATTAGATCAATTTTTATTTTGGATTTTGTAATTTAACTTTATTATATTTATTAAATTTTATAGAAAATTTTTGTTTGATATAATTTGGTTTATAATTAATTTTTTTCTAAATTTTTATTAATTTTTGTTTTGGATTTTGATGTTTAAATTTATTATATTTATTAATTTTTTATAGAAGTTTTTTGTTTGATATAAAATTATTTATAATTAAAAATATTTTTTTCTAAATTTTTATTATTAATTTGATGTTATTACTTTATATTCAATTTCTATCGTTAAAAATTATATAAGTTAGATTTTCATCTATATATAATCAGAATAAAATATATTTAGTCAATTTATATGGAGTTCATATACTTAAAATTTAATATATATATATATATAATATTTTGAAAAAATCCCCGCGGATCAAGCACCACAATTTCTATCGTTAAAAATTATATAAGTTAGATTTTCATCTATATATAATCAGAATAAAATATATTTAGTCAATTTATATGGAGTTCATATACTTAAAATTTAATATATATATATATATAATATTTTGAAAAAATCAACTAATAATACTGTTCTATTTGATTTGTTTTGATTTTTTTTTTGAATTAATATTCTTATTTAAAATTATTTTTAAAAAACTTTGATATATATATATATATATATTGATTATTATCTTATTGGATAACGTGACATCCAACAAGGAGACAAAAGTTACAGTTGTTGGCTAATCGCCATACTAATTTTGGAGTTTGATTCAAAATATTTTATCTTTAAATTTATCTTAATCTTGTAAGTATAAATATATTATAATAATATCCTAAATAAACAATTGAAATTTGTATTTTGATATGAAATGAATTTATAGGACGCATTCAACCAGGGTAGATCTATCTAATTATACGTACATAGATTTCTTTCTTGACGGATTCTTCGAAATAAACTCCTTTTTATAAAAAAAATATGAGGCACGATAATTTCGTTTTTATTTTAATTAATTATATATATAATTTAATTTAATAATATTAAGATGGCGTAGAATCAATGGGTCTCAAAGAGACTCTCGCCCCAATTGGACACCAATTACCAATTACCAAAAAAAAAATGGCATAGAACAATATTATTCAAATTGATTTTAACTACTTTAATTAATTAATATGAAACTAAAAAATTAATATCCATCTAATACATTTCATGAATAAATTTGGACCTATACTATTTATGTTTAACTTATTGTTAATAAAGGATAAAATAATTTTCTGAATCTATTATAATTCATATATTTGTACTTGGATATGTATAATTAATGATGGTATAAATCATGAGTAATTGTCTTATGTATTTTAGGAATTAGTGGAAAAGAAAATCAGGATTAAATGTATATTATTTTATTGATAAAGATGTCATGGTTGCCCCCCGGGCCCCCCTCCCTTAATGTAATCGTCTTAGGATCATGAGAATACTTCAATTGTACGCCAAGTTTCTAATTATACGAAAAAAAGTTTTTAATTATTAACTCGTTAACTTAAATGCATAAATGATAAGATACCAAAAATATAATATATATATATATATATATATGCGCTCACACCATTAATAATATAGTATTTATTAAATTTAATCTTAATTATTTAAACTAATTCATATAATGTCAATATTAATTATGTAAAATTAATAAAAGTAAACTAAAGTAATATTTTTATTTTTGTATTATTATATTTAAATAACAATTTTTTTACATCTATCATACACGTATGTGTATAATTTTGTATATGTGAATTGTATTTCTAGAAATCTCGGTTATTCAGTATATATTTACCAATCATTCACATACAACAGTTTTCTGTTTAAATTTAAAACTGGATCCAAAAAACATAGAACGCAATGAATTTGGGTTTAAAATATATTAATATTAGTCATAAATAAGTTCAAAATAGTAAATAAATTTTTTATACGTTTACATGGGTTAATCTCTGACATTTAGGCTGTACTGAAATATATAAAAGGGTATATACGTATATATATTAATCCCGAAAAAGATAATTAAAAGCCAAAAAATTAAGCTTTCTTAATTTCTAAAAATGGGAAGTCATATCATACACGTTTTCTAGCGACAAAACCGACCAATCTCCTACCTCGAGATCAATCATAATTGATTCTGATTCAGATAAATAATCGAGTCTTTAAAAAATGATTCAAGTCCATGAAATCTTTACCTATTAGGCCACGTGTCAGTTTATGATGGGCGATACACAAGTGCCTTTCTTTTTTAATAAAAGTTTTTACCCTAAATTCCCAAATGCATCTCTCTCTCTCTCTTCTCTCTCTCTCTCCACAAAGTTAAAACGACATCTCTGTTCCTCTGATCCTTCGCCGTTTTGTATGTTCTCTTTTTCCTCGACTTCTGGACGGGCAAAGTCTCCGCACTCTCTCCAATCTCTGTCACTTTCTCGCGAATCCGCGATTGGTACTTTAGATTTACTGTGATGCAATGTTGAATTCGATCTGGTTTCGATTTTCATATCGATTTCGAATATGGTTGATTTCTGTTCTTGTGATCGGTGATGATGACGATGATGATCCAGAGAGCAATAATGGGAAGGGGAAAGATAGTGATTCGGAGGATCGATAACTCAACGAGTCGACAAGTGACGTTCTCCAAGAGGAGGAGTGGCTTGTTAAAGAAGGCGAAGGAGCTTGCGATCCTCTGCGACGCGGAGGTCGGAATCATCGTCTTCTCCAGCACCGGCAAGCTCTACGATTTCTCCAGCTCCAGGTACTTTTGCCTTTTTTTTCATTCCTTTTTTCATATTTTTGTTTGACTTTAGATCGATCGCGCGTGAATTCGTCCTCTTGTTTGTTTGGTCCATATGATTGATGAGGGAATCGTTTTTTTTAAATCAATTAATAATCGAAGAGTTTCATGAGCATAAACAATTTAGATTTTGTTTTCACCAAAAAAAAAATAGATTTTGTAGATAAATTATAAATTCGTATTCCAATTCAAATTATCGTTAAAATTTCACAAGGATAGTGTTTGGGGGAAGACAGAGATGAGTTATAGCATTTCATGAGATCGCTTTGTTATGAAGTAAATATCTCTGTAGAGAACGGTGAATAAAATGGTGTGTGCTGTGTATGTGCATACACCGATACACGTATACTTCAACTGCGCATGTGTGTGTATGTATTCATAGACATCTGCATAGATGCGTGCATACATGTGACAATGATGATACATTAAATGAGTCCTCCTTCCACAAAAAAAGAAAGTTCAAATATCTGTAGTATCTACAACTTTCTAAATAGAGAAATGAGTGTGTATTTACTTTTTCAATACACAAGTGGATCATTATTCCATCAAAAGAAACAAGTGGATCATTACACACACATATGCATATACATATATATATATATATATATATATAATTATACCCATCATAAAATCCTTCGATGATTGACCACTAACACAAATGTAATGGTGGGTGAGTTCACTCCTTTAATGGGGACCTTTTTTCACTTTAGATATAATTCATCAAATTTCTTGCTAGATTGATAGATGTGTCAACATATGGTACATCTAAAGCCCAAACTTGGGAGAAAATTAGAGATTTGGGTGTTGAATCAGTGACTATGCGAGGTACCACTAATCTAACCTGTTAACACCGATCCATATCCTAAAAAGAAACAAACTGTGTAGTCACTGATCCAAAATGGATCAAGAGCTTTTAGGAAATGATGAAAAGAGAAAAGATAGGACAAGGAAGTGGTTATAGAGAACTGGATAGATATCAACTTGCAAATTTAGGCTTTCCCTCTGCTTTGCGCTCTTAGGTAGGTGTGGGGGATATGTAAACCCGAAGTCCTCTCAGTGCTTTCACCCCCTCTTTCCTCAGTCTTATCGGAGTTCAGTTCAGCTCGACTCGCCCTTCTATCGGGCGATATGAGCACCCGAACTTTCGCCACGCCTAACTGATAACCGAGTTTGATATTTGACCCTCACGAGATCTGGATTCGATACTCCAACTTAAAAATTTGAAGGGATAAAAACTGAAATTGTAACACCAAAAAATCTGGATAGTCTGTGTGCGGTGTTTACCATTCACTCCCTCTTAATATTTTTTCCCTTATTTATATTTTTATTGGCAACTAGTTGGTGGGTAGCTGTACCTACCTGGGGTTATAATAATCAGGTATTAGCGAAATTAGCTCTATATATTAATTCTGAACACAGGCTAACACTAATTAATTGTTTTTATGTAGATTCCGTCGCATAAAAGAAATGGTGTGCCACCAGGGAAAAAATACAAATCCCAAAATCAAATTTGGCAAAGTGTTTGATATCTCTTCATAGTTTCTTCTGTAGTATATATGCAAAGGTGTGAAACCCACCTGCTCCAGATTATAGGTTAGACATAACATACCTGTGTTTTGACCCGTCTTGTAGCTTGGTTACCGACCCTGCAACAACTGAGGCCAACACACAGAAAAAAAAGGTATTACAGAACCAAAAGATATAACCAAAGAAGGAGAAGAAGGATGGCTCGCTTGTTCTATGTTTCTGACCCAGCTTTACTGACTAAATCATACGAGATCCTACAAGACACATATGCACAGACCAGATGCAGCAGAATCAAACAGATATATATATATATATATATACACATAGAATTAGCAGACATGGACATGAATTTACAAACCTGATTTGAGCTGATTAATGGGAAAGATAACGTTCTCATGTGTTAAAATCTTCACTTGCAGCATGAAATCGATAATCGAGCGATACGGTGACACAAAAGGGGATAGCGAAAGCGACACAGTATCCGAAATCAAGGTAATTGCTTCAGATGATCTAATTTGACTTGCAAAAGATGAAACATACAATGTTCTGATCAGTACGATACTCACATTTTACTATTCAATACACATTTGCGGAGAAAACTCCGGAACATGTTCTTGTTAAAAGGGCTTAGGATTTTAGTGTGTACCAAATGATGCGAGCAAGATAGGAAACTAGATTTCCGCTTTTGCATTTTACCGAAACAAAACAACCGAATTCCGTACAGATATAATGCATTTCTGTATATGTTGTAGATGGATAGGAAATACTGACCTAATTATTTGCAATAAAATGAGGGGAAGGTCAAATGAAATGATCCTGTTGCTGACCTAATTTACTCACACAATATTGTTGAAGCAAACACCTGCCATAACAGAGATGAGGTCAAGCAACTGAAGCATACTATTATTTCTACTAACGCAGCAATTGCTACTTGGGTTTTCAACAATAACAGGAAATGTAGAAAGCTCATCGATCTTTTTTTTTCACCAACTTAGATATGGAAGGATCATCCTCAGTTTCCTATATTATGCTCTAGTAAACCACCTGAACTTAATTTGTTCTATATTCTAGTTCTGGCAGAGGGAAGCAGCAATTCTGAGGCAACAGCTACATAACTTGCAAGAAAACCATCGGTATGTTTTTGTATATCTTGCCTCCGAATACATTGCATGCATATTATTCTGAAAACAACAGTTAGAACAGCAGATGAAAAAGATAAATGCAAGTCCAGTTAGGGGATAATATGACTTCGGAAACTATTAATAATAGGGTATATGTGACCGTTGAGTCCAATTACCAGAACTCATTACCATAACAAACCTTTATATATTGGAATATCCCCGAGAATACTTCGTCAGCATAGCAAAGTTCTTCGGCTGAAAATGTACTCACCTGGTTAGGATTACCTGGGCAAAATACATCAGATGCTAGATGCCTATAGCCTCTCCAAAATCACGGTCGCATCTCTGCACTTTTTGAGAGTCACCTCACACATCTAGACCATTCATGAGAAGGGAATAACCAAACACTCCCCAGAATTTATTTGGTAAATGTAGAACCGTATTGGGAACATATATAGTTATCAAAATCCTCAAGACGGTGACAGAAATTTGTGTTCCGTAAGGAAATGCATCTTCAAAAACAGTCTCCTAATGAAATATACCTGACAGGAAAATGATGGGAGAAGAGCTTTCTGGGCTAAGTATAAAAGATTTACAGAGCTTGGAAAGCCAGCTTGAATTGAGTCTTCGAGGGGTACGAATGAAAAAGGTTTGGTCGCCATAACTAATCAGTCATGTTTGTGGCTTTTTTCGAAATGCAGTGGGTTGGTGCTCTATCTATTGCTCTTTCTTCTCTTTTGACTTTTGTAGGATCAGATTTTGATGGATGAAATAGAAGAACTGAACCGAAAGGTGGACCTCTAGTGGCAATTATCTTAGAACAGACTTTTCTATTTTTTGTCTATGTGCGTATGCCGAAACTAATTAATTTCTTACTCTTCCTGCTGCAGGAGAATCTCATGCACCAAGAAAATCTAGAACTCCACAAGGAACTAAACCTAATGCGCCGAGAGAATAAGGAACTACAGAAAAAGGTATTGCTAAATTGAACTAATCTAGGAGCTAGGATTTGCTATTTAAAAGGCGGGTTGCTTTCTTAACGAGGGTAATACCTATACCAGGTTTCAGTGCTGGGGGGTTCCGATAGTGCAAAAAGGAATTCCCTTCTCACAAATGGTCTAGACATAAGAGATGACTCAACAGAACCTGTCCATCTTCACCTCAGCCTACCACGGCACGTGCAAGCACCAGCCGCAGGGGCTACCAAACCCGGATACTTTTCTTTCATCACATAGAGCATACTCAATGTGTACGTGGTATGCATTGACACCTGCAACTCTTCAGAATCTCATCCTCCTTGATTTAACTGCAGCAGATTGCCACTGCATTATAAAAGAAAGCATGATCAAAAAGTAAATCCATTTGTATCAACATTACTAATGTGGATTCCAATGTCCTCTGTGGCCAATACATTACTCATTTGAAAAAAGAACTTCCTTAATTTGCCATTCAACGTGTATTTGATGGTCGAGGAGGGTTTTTTTTTCTCAGAGAACAAAAAATAGAAACTGTAAAAACATTGGAAACCATTAAATCTCATTCCGGTTTGGGTCAGAGAGGGAACAACAGTGCTACATTCAAACACTGTTAACTATAGAAATCACAAAATCCCGAACGACAACGCACAGAAATCAACACAACCAAATCACACTACAAATGTAATAGAGGAATGTTTTCCATACTTAAAGTAAAATACTCAAAATTTAAAATGGTCACTGTATGGAAATGAGGAAGAAAAACAAACAAAGACAAACATGCACAAATTACGGGATAAATGTATTTAGTTTGCTTAGATGGGATGAAGAAATTTTCAAGTACAAGGGTTGAGCGGAATATTTTGCACTCCTAATAGGATAATGTAGCACCAGCCCTTGATAGACGAGAAGGGCTCTGGCCCTCAAAGTAAAAGAGCCTTTGACGGTATCTATTCAGAGCAGCAAATGTTTTTACATAAGCAACTAGATGGTGGCTCTTGAGGCTCGAGCAAATTAAAGGAAGAAAAAGGGTAAGTGATTTGCTTCCTTTTAATTTTACTAGACACCGTAAAGAGGGTTATGTTAAGTATATTTGAGTCCTTTTAGCACTCCATGATGTTGTAAGAGCTCAATATATATGAGAGCACGATATCTATCTTGTTCACTGAATAATTTGTATGCCATAATCAAGGGAATGCAAGTTAATACATCAGTGTCTATCAGTTTAAAAGCCATATGCAATGAACACTAAGATAACAGTTCAGATGAATAAACTAATTAGAAAACAAAAGAAGCAGACAGTAATATTTTGATGATCATCTCACCCAAACTAATACCTAAAGATTCATTAAAATGAATTTACTTCTTAAACTCAAAATGGAGCAGAACATGACTTTCTGATGGCAGTTCCACCATTATCAATACCAAATAATTCATACTAAACTAAATTTCTAAAATTAGTTTTAACTTATAACCACTCGTACGTCGAAACCTTTGGTCCTTCTACCATATGATGATTAATTATATCTTCCTACTTTGTAAGAAAAAGAGCAGGGAGTGAAAGAATGGAGATGAGATGAAGCCAAGACCACATACTGTGGGGTATCCATCAAGCCATATTTAGAATACAATCTAAGGAATATCTCTACAACCAAAAGAAAGGCCCAGTATCAACAAATCTATAACTAAAGTACACGACCAACCACACTATAACCATAGATAAATTACTTGTAGGAAGGAGTGTTGGAATGTAAAGATGACACTTAAGTCTTAAACATGGACCCAAGAAATCCATATCATAGACAATCATATCCACTCTACATTATCCATACTTCCAGTCAAGTTATGATTGGACCTTCAAGACAAAAACAAGTATGCAAAGTTACTCTCAGAGTCCTAGTCTCCCATGAGTCGTGACTGCTGTTAAAACATTAAACAGCAGTTTCTGGAAGAGCTTAACACACCATAATAGCACCAACACAAGTTCCCACCCTATAACAAGGTCAAGGACTGAAATTTTCATACCTAGACCAATTTCTTGGTCATGGAAATTGTATTAATTAGTATAGGGCAAAATTTACAGAAGTTACCTATGATGATCTATTCTTTTTAAGCAAATTATTAGAGAAAATATTGCAACAGAGAGAGATAAGAATGTGTGGAACAAGCTCCACTCTAAGATCCATTATGAGAGCCAGATTATTAAGAATCTTTACTTTAAATGAGCAACGTTAGACAATAAAACTTTCTCACGGACCTCAACCTCAAGCATAATTAATTAGATTGAGTGATTAATTAAGAATGTAAAGGATGTTATGAAAACCGATTATTTCCTTTTAGTTTGGGTGTGGATAGTACAAGGCACAAATTAAGTCAGTGGTATTTCAACAGATCCCTTTTAACTTAAACATTAGTAATTAAAAAATCCACAATGCTTTCTATGGTTATTTGCTATCAAACGATTCAAACCATAACGAAAAGCTAATTAAACTTCGGTCAAGAGAAGATGCAAAGAAATTGTAGTCATCGCATGTTTGCATTAGTTGTAGTACAACTAACCTAACAAAACAACCATGTTCTACTGACTGTCCTCAATTAATGCGCATCATGATCAATGATCATGAACATTGTGAATAACAAGATGTATTGTTAGATATACATCTTAGGAAGCACCGATTGTGAACTTTTAAATGGAGCTTGCATAAAATAAATAAATAAATGAGAATTTTTTATTTTTTTTCAAAACAGTAGTTGATTCTAATTAAATAGATGGAAACTCCTCTAAACAGTAGTTTTGCATGTCATAGACTCATAGATGATGGACACTTTTCAAAGTTTCAATGCACAAGATCTTGTTATGTGCCCTTATTTTATGAGCACATATATCAAGTTGTGCCTGTAATGGAAACATAGTCTACCAATTAAAACAGCCAGAAAAAAAGGAGCCAGATCAACACAAGCAAATGACAAAGAAGACGCTTCTACGCCTCAAAGGATCATATGATATAAGGCAAATGACAAACAGTTGGATATATACATTTTTTTTAAATGGATCGCAGTATCTCCATGAAAAAGGGGAAAAGGCTCAAGAAATGCATCCGCCCGAAAAATCGAAACGATGAATCTCACCTGAAAATGGAGACATGTTCACTTGAGATCGATCCAAATAATTCTCATCTACGGGTATCATCTGCGCATGCAATCAAAATTAATAACACGGGGATTGGAAGCACTTCAATCGCTGTCGTCAACAATGAAATAGAAAAAAATAATCGAAGCATTATCTGCGAAAGTCCGAAATTATAAGGTCATGCAGCTGATACGTCGATGCTAAAACAAGTCTCATTTCCTTCATTTTAGCGATCTACTTTCTCGAGCATTCTCATCACCCAAACAGATCTCAAAAACGATTTAACAGAAAACCACGTATCATCGTCGTAAATCGAATCCGCAAATAGAAAGAACCGGAGAAAACAAAAGCAAAAAAAAAATCAGAAGCAAACTCACCAAAATTCGCCGACGAACAAAGCGGCGTCGAAAAGAGAATCGTACACGTAGGAATTTGTAAATGTCGATCTCTCACCACGAACATAATCGAGATCCGGCGGATAAATCTCCGGAAATCAGGCGGAATTCGTAACAGCGAAGGCTTTAGAGCAGATTCGGAAGAACATCTAGGGCAAATTAGAGACAAGGGAGTTAAAAAGATAGAATGGGAGAGAGGTGAACGAAGATATTTACGAGGCCAGAGGATATTTATATAGGAGTGTGGGGGATGGGAATGAACTTAATTTAAATCTTAATTACTTATTAGTGCGTTAAATCAGATTTTTAATTAATGAAATGAAATATCTAAGAATATAATCTAGGGTTTCGGATTTTCCCCCAAAGGCCCAGCTGATTGGCTTTGCTTCATGTAGCAAACATTTGATTGGGTCGGCGCTGTTGCTTAGTCAGTTCTATTTTATTTGGCCTTTGTGTCACAGAAATTAATCTTAAATTAAAATGTAGATTTATTTTTTATTTTTTATTTGCAATTATATTATTTCTTGGAGATTTAGCTTTGTTTTTCTTCACAATATCATCAAAAATAAATATAAAGATTTTAAATATTTAAATATTAAAAAATCGTATTTAAATAATTTTATAGTGTGTACAAATAATTTATGTAAAGATTTATTTATAAATTTACGAATAAATATAAAAAAGATATAACATAAATTAAATTGTGAGTGGAGAACATAGAAATCGTGAGATAACGAAGGTAGCCGAATAACGGATATATAGATATATTCAGTATATTATTTATTTTTTAACACTTTATGAGTAGAGATGGATCTAGAAATATATGTAATAGGGGCATGATTAATTTTATTATTTTTATAAGGGATATTTAATAAATTTACTTAGAATTTTATAAAATTTATAAATAAAATTAAATATTTAAATTAGATCAATAGAATTTGTGACGCCATTGCTATAATGTTGGGTCCGCCCATACTTATGAGTTTACAAAATATTATAAAAGGTATCTACAAAAATATTATAATATATATTATTTTTAATCCATTTAACACTTTTTCATGTACATTTTCACTTTTTGACTCATCATTTAAGAAATAAATATCCACAAATATTAAATCATACAACGAAATTTATAATTACAAGTATTCGAATTAAGAATTAAAAAATACGACGAAATTATGAATATATAACAGCGAATCATGTTTTGTTGATTGAATACAATAAGCAAACACCATACTTTAGAAAGGGGCTTCATTCAGTATTCTACTCTTTTCTCAAAATATATTGGATTATTACATAATCATTAGGAATATAAAATTCGTATTTTAATGCTAAAATATCTGGAAGCCAAATAGTCAGTTGAGCCGAGTCGAGCCGAGTCGAGTCCGACGATTTCAGAAAATAAATTTTATTTTAAAAATATTAAAGAGAGAGAAAAGTGTAGCTGGAGATTACAAAATAAATGCTTTTGATTAGTTTTCTTTTAGCGATTATAAATTCGCCACGTCGCACTTTCTATTTTTAAATTTTTTCCTCGTAATACTCTATTATCTTATTTTTATTTTATTTTTAAGACAGTACATATCTGTCAATGTTAGGGTATCTGCTCTCTTTAGCACAAACAACGACAAATACACTTCAATTTTTTTTTTTTATAATTTTAATTGCACGAATCCTATGGATTTCCAAATTTGAATTTAAATAAAACGTTAATTTGTCATACTAAACACCAACCATATTATAATGTCCTGATGCAAATGGAAAACAAAATATATGACTAATCCACGATTATTTTAAATCGCTAACAAAAGTTGGTGAAAATGAGAGTTGGCAAATGACACGTGTCAGCTTGATTAGCGTTCTGTCTTGCTGTATGCTTGATTTCCGATTACCAAAAGGAAATGATTGTATAAGAAGATATTTATAGGACTAGTGACACGTGCTCCTATGTCCGGTAAGATATTTTTGGTATACTTATCTTATGTCTCTGCCTCGGTCAGAGGGTTTGGAAAACTACTGTCCTGATTGGAGAATGTGTTGGAAGATTAGAAAAAGTAAAATAAAATAAAATAAAACTTGGAGACAACTTTCCAATAGAATTCATTTATACTTTTTATGAACTTTTATTTTTTACCCCTCTTTCCGATTGTACCGACAATGCCACCCGTTTTTACCTACACGTGATGCTTTGGTGGGGTCAAATAATTATCCGTTATTAAATAAACTAAAAGGTTTATTTAAAAAAGAATCAAATATATCTGTTACAACCCAAAGATTTATCATATCCATAATTAATAAAAGATTTATTTTTAAAAATTAATTAACTTTTTCAACATTAACTAACTATTCAAGAGATACATGATCTACTACAGATACTGAAATAATTAATTTATTTACTTAAATAGAAGAAAACAGTTATCAATTTTTTGTCTATTTTCTATTTCTTTTTTCAATCATTTATTATCTATTAAATTAGTTAAGTTTTTTATGGTTAAATTTAATAATTAATATATTTAATAATTATATTATTTCGTTTATAAATCTAATGTGAATCCAAATAAGGCCAGTCAAAATATTATTTGGAAAATCACCCTAATAAAATTATTTATATTAATATTTTAATATTATTAATAGATAAATTAAATTTCAAGAATTTAAAATTTAATATTTTTATAATTAAAATAAATATTTTTATTATGCATATCATCTCAAAAATGTTTGAGAGGGTTATGCTTCTTATCAAAGGAATTATCAAAGATAAAGTGTGTTTTTAGAGGTGTACATTTTAGTCCGAAACTCGAAACTCGGTTTGAGCTTTCGATTTTTTCTTAATAAGATGGATATATCGTATCACCTCGAGGTTTAAAAAAAATCGGGATTAGGGTTAGACTGGTTTTCTCGTCCTATCGTCCTCAAACTACTCTTTTCGATCCATCTCAAATTTTTTTTTGATAATTCGGAAGTTCACCGAATCTGACCCAACTACATCTTCCAAATGATCGGAAAAGTCCAGATAAATGTCTCTCTACATGTTTAGATTTGAATCTAGAATACAAATATGTTTTGCATATTCTCTTGTCACTATACCACCAAGCTTGGGTATAAATGAAATTAAAATACAACACATCTCAAACTTTATGACCCGAATCTGAATTTGAATTTCAGAAATGGGAGATTGTAAAAAATTGTCTTGTGTTATATTTAATTATTAATGTTCACCACCGAAACAATACACTAGACCTCGTCCATGTGATCAATCTATGTCATTATGAAATTTATATCATCTAATTAATAACCTTCCGTAAATTATGGTCATTCGAGTACACCAGTTAAATATTATAGGCTTTAGTTTAAGCCCATTTAGGTACTATTGAAAGCCCATTTAAAGGGCCACTTAAAAGCCCAATATATTATATAGATTATTTAAATGTAATGGCTAGACTAATGGGCCAAATTTAGAGCCCAATTCTGTCTTGGGGGCAGTTGTTTTCCATTTTTTTTCCTTTAAAAAAATTGAGAAAAGGGAAACCCAAGCCACTGAGCCAGTATATTTATTATATGCTTCTTTTTTTATATAAGATTTTACCTTTTTATTCATATGCAATGTGGTCTAACGGTATAAGATTATAGTATGATTTATTAGAAAAATATTGTTGCATAGCTTTGTTTGTAACAACTATTGTTCGATAGGGTTGCAGCTAACGATTAAATAACCATTTTTTTGGTTAGAGGATTGATTAACCATTGATATATATAGTTTTAATATAAGATGATTACATGAACAACAAGCAGTTGCATTTAATACCCCAAAGAACATTAACTATGAAGTTACATTTATTGGCTAATATTTTAAGAATTAATTTGCACCATCTTTTATAGGCGAAGATCCATACGGTCTATATAAAAATATCATATCATTACAGGGATTGGGTGATAATATTCTTTTTTTGGGTTAATTTTCTTACAAATATGAAATCGAACCAAACAAAATAATAATATATATAATTATGTTGTAATTGTTAGAGATATACCGGATCTTGAAGAATATTTTGAGATATATCGTATAATGGATATCTTATCAAATCCGGAAAATATATATTTAGAAATATTTATCATTATGTCTACTTTACTTATTCAATGTAAGTCATCTATTTATATGTTATTTTGGTTATCAATAAAAATATTATTCCGTAAATTTCTACATGGTATCAGAGCTTCTGATTCTTTTCTAATTTGTTGTTCTTTTCATAAAAATGATGATGGATAATGAGAGTGAAGATGAAGATGATGATATACCGATCCAGTGGTAATATCATTTCGAGTTTTTTTTATTAAGAATAAGAGAGTAATTTTGTTTTTGTTTTTTGTTTTTTTTTTTCTCTCATAATCCCACATGTTTCTAAAGATTATTCGCATAGCCGCCAATTATCTTATTTTTACCAAAAAATTTGTTGTCATTAAACGCTTTCGCGTAGTTGCCTTTCAATCTCGGATGAATCAGAGTTATTCCCGAGACTTCTTTCCACATCGCGATTGTCGTCCTTTTTTTGTTATCATCGAACGATTCTTTTGTGCGTGGTGCCAAAGTTGCAGCGCAGTTGTTTGTTTGATTTTTTTAGTTATGTATTTTATTGACACAAGTTCGCAAGGTGATGTGGTTCAAGCGGCGTGCGTTTAATCATCTTTTCAGCAAGTTGGGCGTTTCGTGATCTTCCACGCTCCAACTTGAAGGGGATGTTGAGATATACCGGATCTTGAAGAATATTACGAGATATATCGTATAATAGAGATATTATCAAATCTGGAAAATATATATTTAGAAATATTTATCATTATGTCTACTTTACTTATTCAATGTAAGATTCTCATCTATTTATATGTTATTTTGGTTATCAATAAAAATATCATTTCGTAAATTTCTACAGTAATCTGATTTCATCTAAATTTTTTATTGGATATAATTTTTTATAATAAAATAATTAAAATCATTCTGAATACAAAAATAGAAAAATTGTTTTTTTAGAAAATAGATGTTTTTATTAACAAAAATTAAATCCAAATCAAATGCTAATAAACCATACAAAACACAACTTCCTGACCTCTCTCACTGGTTGCTAACCGGGATTTATATGTCTTTTATATGAATAATGAATCTTGGTTGTAGTTGAACCCAACTTCGATCTAAAACTTATACCGAAAAAAACTTCGGTCTAAAATTTCAGTATATTATGTAAAAAAAATCGGACCCGAAACATCCATTATGTCTATGTACATAGTGGATAATTAAGATTTAACACTTGAGATACAATGAGTTTAAAATTTTTGTGCAATATTCAAACCTTTTTTCTAAATTTTCTAATAATTTAGTTTGGGACTTGGATCCAAGAACTTGGATGGGAAACTACTCATAGACCATCTCATTCTCCCCGATGCAAAAATATCGTTGTAATATAATATTTTTCTCTGTCTCAATAAATATTTTCTGGAATTTGAATATTAGTGGGTTCCTCTTAAAAAAATAGAATTTTAACTAATAAGCCATCAGTAGATAATATCATATTGTTTTGCATGAGGTTATAATTATGAATGATTATTTGATACCATTAGCATCATCAGAATCATTACATACGTATTAAAATTCCAACTTTGAATACAAAGATACATATGAATTTTTTATATTTTATAGGACAAAAGAAAATGAAGAAATCGAAGTTGTGAGACGTTCAAAATCTGGTTTTGTAGTTCTACTGGTATATGTGGATGACATTGTCATTGCTAGTGACAGCATTGATGCAGTTTCAGAAGTAAAGGATCTACTGAGACAGAAGTTCAAAATTAAAGACTTAGGAGATTTGAGATTCTTCCTTGGATTGGAGATAGCAAGACAGAAGAAGGGAATATCATTGTATCAGAGGAAATATTGTCTGGATTTAATATCAGATTCAGGTTTATTGGGATGTAAACCAGTTTCTACACCTCGTGATGCAAATACGCACTTGAGTAAAGATGCTGGAACTCCTCTCGAAGACATAACAAATTACAGACGTCTTGTGGGAAGGTTATTATACCTAACCATAACCAGACCAGACATTACATTTGCTACTCACAAGCTTAGTCAGTTTTTATCAGCTCCAACAGATATACATATGAAAGCGGCGCAGAGGGTAGTGCAGTATCTGAAAACTAACCCCGGGCAAGGTCTGTTTTATTCTGCATCTTCAGCTCTTCGTTTCAATGCTTTTGCGGATGCAGATTGGACAACATGTCCTAATACGAGGCGTTCAGTGTCTGGGTTCTGTATTTTTCTCAGAGAATCTTTGATTTCATGGAAATCAAAGAAACAGACCACGGTTTCGAGGAGCAGCACAGAGGCAGAATACAGATCATTGTGAGTTAATTTGGTTAACAAATTTGATGGCAGACTTTCAGATTTCCTTGGAAGGACCTGCCAATCTCTTTTGTGACAACAAATCCGCCATACACATCGCTTCGAATCCATTTTTTCATGAACGGACGAAGCATATTGACATTGATTGCCATCTAGTTCGAGATAAGCTTCAATCAGGTTTCTTGTGGATGATGCATGTGAAGACAGAAAATCAGTTAGCTGATATTACAGGTGTTTTCTGTTCTAATGTCGAAATTTCATATTTTAAGCTTGTATCTCCCTGAAGGTGCAGTCGATTCAAGTTTGAGGGGAGTATATTAGTATATGACACAGTTACAATCTGTTTAGAAATCTGTTACTTAGTTATATTGCGGTTTATACAATCGGAAGTGTATTTTAACATCTGTACATGAAACAGAGGAATACAACTAGAGAAATTTTTCCATTCTCTCTACTCAATTTTCTCTCTCATCTTTCTCTCTCTGGTTTTTCCGGTCATCTTTTTCGGCGAAACCTGAAAATAGAGTGCGAAAACAGCAATGGAAAGTTAGGGTTTCAGAACCCTAATCGAAGAACACGTTGAACAATATTTGTTTTAGAAATCAATAATAACCAAACTATGATATATTGTCAATATTTACGGAATAAACCTCGTGTTTTTATTCACCAAACAACATATATATACACAATACGAAATCTTAAGTATACTAAACAACTAAATAATTAAAATGTATCTATATCATATATCCCGATAACATATCAGAGATTTGTATACATTCCTAATACAACGTGACATGATGATTCGATCCATGCGATCGAATAACAAGATTTGATATATAGATAGTTTCATAAATTTTTAGAGATTTAAAGTTTAAACATTAAAAGTGGTAGACAAATTCTCTTTATTACCTAATTGGTTTGATTAGTGATATAATATGCAACCTAATTTTCCAATTTTATTTTGTTTGAATATGTCAAATATTTTCCCTCCGTAGAAGGTGGTGGGTAAGTAAGCAAAATGGATACAAGGTGGGTAGGCAAATTGACAATTAATTAATTTAAAGAAGATGGAAATACAAGGCCACATGACATAACCATCTCATATATATATATATATAGTATTCTTTCCATAATTGCTTGTAGTGGAATAAAACTTTCCCTTTTAGAGCTTTCCAACAGGAAAACAACAAATTACAAATTACGAAATATTTTAAAAAATTGCGGAATAATTGATAGACTACATGGTTGGGTATCTAGTGTTAACGATCCCTATTATTTCTTTGTCTTCTTGGCTGCAAACCCTTTAATTCACACACACACACACACACACACACATATATATATATATAAGGAAAATTATATGAATATATCTACAATTGAATCTAATTATATTATAATGAAATCTGGGAGTTCGAAGTTGGATTTATATCAATTTTTATATTATTTATTTTAGTATAAAATATTGGTATTTATTTCATTTTTATATTTTAATCCGGAACAATTTACAAAAAAATGTTATTTCAAAAGAAACTTATTCCAGCTACAAAGCAAGAATCATGTGAACCATGCTGTTTGAAATATTGATAATTTTCTATTCTAATAATATTATTAATTGTTGATTAGATCGTTCTTAGTCAAGATACAACCTACTCTTAACAAGAGTTTATGTAACTTTTTTTTTCAAGATAATTTTTTTTTAAACATCAACGCTTAATTATTCTAAGCATTGTATAATCGATTTCAATTTACTATTAATTGTGAATATAGTATAGTGAACTTTAAATGTTTTGATAAACCATTAATTTATAAAAAATAATTATTTAAAGAAACATACATTTTCATCCCAACAAATACGGTTTTTCACATACATTTAAATGTCTGTGATTAAACATATTTAAAATATATAAAATTATGATTAAGTAAAATTTTAAATATATATAACTTTATATTTATTTAATTAGTAAATAATTTTATGACAATCTTACAATAACCGAAATAAATTATTTTTTAGAATGTATATTGCATATATATATTTAGAGCACTCAATAAATTCGAAACTACGTAAACAATTTTAATATCCATTACGAGGTACAAATAGAGAAATAATCCCTTTTTTTATATCAAAAGTCATAGTATGAAAATTCTTTTCCATACGTCATGTACATAATTTAAATACATAATTAAGGATCTATGATTAAACAACATTATTCAAATAGAGCAAGAAAACGAAAGGAATTACGAATTCTGAATCGAACGTTAGGGTTCATCGTACGTCTCGGGAAAGGTAGTTCTTTTATTCACGAAGTGTACAACGCGAGAAAGAAAACACGATCGAGCCTAAATCTTGACCGAAAAACTCCTACAAAACTTGAAGAAGAATTGCAGAGTCCCGGACCTTCGTCTGCTTTGTGTTTTATCAAACGCAAAGCCGCCAATATCGCTTTTACCAAATTACCCCCGAGCTCGTTAAACCTTGGTTTTGGTGTGTTATGGCAAGTTGGCAACCCCTCTAGTTCAGCTAAAAACGTTCCCCTGCAATCAGCTCATTTTCGATTTTCCTTTGTTTCAAGAAATGTTTGCTGTTACTTCTTCTAGCAAGACAAAAAGAAAAATCTTTTTTTTTTTTACAGACGACACTACTACCGGAACAAAAAGGATAAACACAAAGCTTATCATAATCGGCGATATATTTTCCAAATGCATAATTTTAGGTACCTATATTTTTTTTGTGTGTGTTACAAAGAATTTATATTTTTGTGTTAGAACTGCCTATAAATATTATGTCTTTTCTTGCATTACATGTATAAATATTTTTAATAAATAAATAAATATAATTGCACATAGAAGTGTACCTAGTGAAAACTGAATCTTATATTATTATATTTATTTTAAAATTTTATCGGGTACAATACACATGCTTCATGGTTTGTGGATAATGCTCTGTGCATTTTGAAAAAAAGGGCACAAAACCATAGATTCCAAAAAAGGAAATAATACTAAGATGACCACGTGTCATGTACCCATTTGGTAAGATTCCTCGATCTCGCTTCAAACATCATTGACCATTAAAAAAATTCTCCCGTCTCATGATTCGACCACGTGTCAATGAATACCGTTAGCTGTTTTTCTCGAAACCGCTCCGGTTTCCGGAATCACGCTCCTTCCTTTTTTTTCCTTAAATGGCCACACACACACCTCTCCGAAGATTTGAATCTTCTGCGACCAAATACGTCGCGTATGTGAGCTGCAAAAATCAGAAATCCTCACCATTTTTCTCTGTAAGCCTCGATTCTCTCCATTTCAGCTTTTTCGCGATCTTATCGATTATTCTTGAACTGTAATCTTAGTCTCCGTCTGTTTCAATTTGGACTTCGAGCACTTTTTTCCGGATTCTGAACTCAAATTTTTGTTTCGATCTCATAGAATACTGTCCTCTGTAATCTTCGAATCTCCGTCTGCTTCCGATTGGATTCTGAGCACTTTTGTGTTTTTTTTTTCGAATTCTAGATCGCAATCTCAGATCGGAAATGGGAAGGGGAAAGATAGTGATCCGGAGGATCGATGACACGACGAGTCGTCAAGTGACGTTCTCGAAGAGAAGGAACGGATTGCTGAAAAAGGCGAAGGAGCTCGCAATCCTCTGCGACGCAGAGGTCGGTGTCATCATCTTCTCCAGCACAGGCAAGCTTTACGATTTCTCCAACTCGAGGTATTTCCTCCGGTTTCCTTTTTCTCTAAATCAATGCGCTTAGTAGACATATATATGCCCATATATGTAACTGTATATATACGTAGATACAGTGTTCGTCAGGTTTTGTTCGTGTTTTGTAGTAATACATGCTCATATCCTAGGGTTGTCTGTTCGTTTGATTTTACTATATGTTATTTGATTGGTTTAGTGTCTGTGGACTATGTGATTCTGCTTTCATGAGCTCGATGAGATTGCCGTATTTTATGTATTGTTTTTTTTTTGCTGATATTTGAATCCTATTGAACTGTTTCTAATGGCTATCTATATTAGTTAGGCTATAGACTCATACTTCATTGATCTTGGAAATAGAATGATTAGGCAAAAATATTAAAGGGACATATGCACTCTATGTTATCCTAAATGGCATTTACCATTGAGTCCTAGTATAAAGCTTTAGGCTCATTTGTTGTTAACCTTAACTCTATATATACATAGAGTTGATGAGCTTATAAGTAGTTTTCACATTTCATCCTTCAACTTTGCTCGATGCTTTGGATGCTCGGTATAAGAATTTGCAGCTAAGAATGGATACTTAAACTCCATGATCTTCATAGCCTATGCAAATTCTGCTTAGGCTATGAAAATTTATATCTTTTGTACAACAAATTGTTCTCCTAAATCAAACTTCTCCAAATGTAATATTTGGAAATCAACAAAGCCCAGTAAATATGTTATATGAATTTTCTAAACGTATATCTTTCCTAAGTATTTACAAATAATGGGTGGATCATAAACAAAATTTCGGGCTTTTCTGCATCGGTTTTATGAAACTTTGTCTCATTTTTTAGTTTTTTGGTTATTCAGCATAAGTTCCATGCTTTACATGGGAAGTGTTTTGCATTGGTTGCAAACCAATACAAAATAAAAATTTATATTTTTTAAATTCTAAATAAAAAATATTTGAGAAAATGAAAACAATAACGTTTGTTTAGGGGCCATCATAAGAACTAAAATGAAAATTGAAGAATCCCCATCAATTCCAATATGTGTATTCTTGCGTGGGTTTATAAACGCTAGGAATAAAAACTATTGCAAAAAAATAAAAATAAAAAGATGCAAAAGAGTAGGATGAACAAATAATAGAAAATTCCCACGGGCTTGATTCTACTGGTTGGAATGTGGAAAGTTTAAACACAAACCCGAGTTTGGGCATAACCACTGGCGATATGGCCTTCCACATAGTCCAACAATTGTCCTATCATAAAAAAAGAATAGTAGCATAGTACATTTGAACTGCACATATATATGAACCTTAAGACCATATAAGAGCTTAGTGTTTTTGCAAGCCGAGTTTCATGTTATTATCCATATAAAATCAAGAAGATACACCGCTTTTTAAGTAAGTTCGTAACGTTACAATGCTTTGGAAATTCAATTGGTTATACGAAGTTCAAACAAATAGTTTGCACTTCATATATCACCAAGGCGTTTTTCCATATTTCGGGTGGCATTCCTTCATAATTCTAGATTTAGTGTTTTATTAGTCAAGCAATTTTAGGATGAACAATTTATCGAACAGTTTTCAAGTGACCATACGATGTTAAGAGAAAACAAGTGGAAGTATAACACGAATCTCCGTTTTCGCAACACGTGAAAGTATCATGCATGCATGCATGCACTCATGCAGGATATGAACCACAAAATCTGATAAGTGACGCTCATTGGACGAAACACCAATTTGAGTCCTAGGAATCTCTTTCCTTGGAAGTTTGTGCTAAACGCATGCATTGCCACTTGGCCTAGTTTTTGTGCTTCTCTTTCCAAGTCTCTAAGACTCCTTTTTTCTCTCTAAAATGTCAAATTGAGATACGCTGAAAGCGATAAAGCTTGAGTTGATTTGATGGCTCCACTTGGTGCTAACTTTTTTTTTTTTTTGGCTCATATACATATAATCCATGTAGTCTCGTCATAGAGTTTAGAATCTCGTGGTTCAGTAACTTTGTAATGCATCGACTTCTAACAATAGTTTCCAATTTTATCCCTATCAAATTCCAATAAATTATTAATGATAACATTATTTTCATTAAATAAGAGTATATGTGACTTTTTCTCTTTTTTTTAAAAAAATGTGAAATAACCTAAAACAACAATTATTTTGAAATGGAGGAAGTAGTTATTACTTCTATACAACTAGTCATTGTTACTTCCTATTGCATAGGAAGCGAAGATAACGTTTGAAAAAACTGTTAAAACGTGAAAATCATCATCAACCATAACCCATGAAGTAACACAAGGTACCAAAAGACTGTCTTATTAACTCAACCTCAATTTTAATCTCAAACTCAACTGCTACCTCGTGTAAAAACCCAAAAATGTCTTATTAATGAGAGAAAACACTCTTATACAGATACATTAGATGAGATGTTATGGTTTAATAATTAATTAAAGCTTCAAATAACAATAAAACATAAAATCCAAAATAAAATAAACCATAAGGCCTAATTAGGACCAAATGGCCTAGTGAGACCCCAACTACTCCTCTTCTCTACATGAGCCCACCATTCTCTATGCCTTACCGTCTTCTACCCCGTTGTGTTTTTCAGACTGCTTGCCCTTTCTCCTATATGTGTGGTACATGGGCCGCCTAACAATACACCCCTCCTCCTATGTTCACATTATCCTCAAGGTGAAACTTATAGAATCGCTCTAAAAAACCTTCAATAGGTTCCCAAGTTGCCTCAAAGTCTGAAAATCCTCTCCAATGGATCAATACCTTTGTACCCCTATTAGTGTTAGATTCTCGTTTCCCATGAAAGCTTTCCTGTTCTACTCGCCGTCGAGATCTGCTGTCAATCCCAGAGGTATTTCCTCGGTTCGACAATTTGTAATTCTCACTATTGGTTCAAAAGGTAAACATGGAAAATCAGATGAATTGTCGTCGTGGGGGGACAAAGCCAATGTATAAGTTGACTTACTGATTCGTTTGACCACCTCACAGGGACCGAAATACTTGGACCCTAACTTTCAAGAAAATTTCGTGCTAATGACCCCATCTGTTAAGGTCGTATGCGCAAGAAGGCTAAATCAACTTTCCAAAATTCCTAGGATCGGCATTTTGCATATTGGTATGCCTCGTAATCACTTGTGCTCGATTAAGGCTAATCTAGAGTTACCTATGTAAGATCCTATTCTTACACCATTTTAGAAAGCAAGTCTTGGAGACATTCATGACTGATTTGTCGTCACAAAATCAGAGATTCTCTTTCATAAACTGCCTGAAAAGGCATCATTGGTATGGATCTATGTAATGATGTGTTGTACCAATATTTTGTCTATTTCACTCATTCGATCTATGGAAGATACATAGTGCTCATCTTCAATTTAATTTCGTAGAGTTCAAAAAGGGTCTTTCAAAATTGACTAAGGAAAACCATGTCTCGATTCGAGACAATAGATTCTAGTATCTTGTGGAGGCGCATGATATCCCAGAAGAACAGTTCTACCATCCGTATACCGAATAAAAGATGTTTCAGTGTCAAGAAATGAACACATTTGCTTTGGGCGATCGACCAGTCGTTTAGACACAGGAAGACCTTCCATAAAATCCATAGGGATATCACTTTTACTCTCTATGGAATTAGTAAAGGCAATCAACCTATTGATAAATGTGTTGAACCCTTGAAGCGTTGGCATATATCACAGACATCCATAAGGATTATGACATCCTTCTACATACCGCATTAGAACATTTCTCACTTCAACCTTCAGTAAATTTTATTGATCCCTGAATGACCACCTATAAGAAGGTTATGAAACTCTCCTAACAAATTTAACGGGAGATCACATGAACATAGAATAAAGATTCGTTTGCCAATCTACTAATGGTTAATTGGGTGAAATAGACTGACTACCTTTTCGTCCTGAAGATTTCACAGTACAATGGATAAAATGGGGTTAACAATTATGTCGTATCCACATCTACTTCTATTAGATCCATTTGTTGAGCTGAAGTAGTTGACAATTGGTTTAAATGTGTCGCTTGGTAAATGGTCATCGGGATAGGGCGACCACAAACTTGTGTCCACAAAAATAATGTTGCCACTGTTAGATAACTACGATTATCATGAACTCTTTTTCATATTAAGATTTGACCTTGGTCGGTCTTGTAAAAGCTTAGCTTATGAATGCGATGGGGCAATTTTCGCAATAGGTCATTTTGTCACCGCGCTAATTTTGGTTTGATCGACCTCTATACCTTTGCATGTGACAATGTGGCCAAGATATTCGCCTCTACACATACTAAAACAACATTTCTTCCTGTTAGTCATCAATTGATGTTCCCTCACTTTGAACAAAACGATGCGCAAGTGTCATTGTTCTTCTTCCCCGTTACTGTATATGAGGACATCTCGAAGGAACAAAAATGAACTTTAGCATTCGAATGCAAAAGACCCCGAGTCACTCTCAATCTATTCTGTCACCTCAACAACTTTATTTGTTGGCTATGTTGTCTATGTCTCTTTCAATTATATCATACTTTGTTCGACTGTCGCGGCTTCCGAACGAGTCTGGTTCTTATTGACCCAAATAGAAGAAATGTAGTTGAATCTAACGACTTTGATAGAAATTTCCGAGTCCCATATTCAGCTTTAAGAGCATCGAATGCGCTTACCTAACTAAACTATTACCATTTCTTCAAAATCCCAAAAAAAAATGTCTTATTAACGAGAGAATTCTATATATATGGACATAATAAAGGGCATTATAAAAAATACTCTCCCTTTCTATTTTAACTTCAACACATACTTTCTCTAACTGTGATCCTATTACTCAAATGATCTGAAATATAGTGTGGTCACAGGTTGATCTCATTGGTCATAACGTTAAATTTATAATGTTTTAATCAAACGATTTATGAGATTTTCAATGTATGAACATAATGAATTAATATGATCACCATAAATTTAACATTATTGTCAATAAGACCAGGATTTGATCAGACTATATTTCTGATCACATGGGTCATAAGGTCACAATTGGAGATATGTGTTGAAATCAAAATAGGAAAGGAATGACATTTTTTATATAATGCCCATTAATAATGCCTTTTGAAATGAACCATACCAAGCTCAATTAGCCTAATTCTGACCAAATGGCCTAACTATGAGTGTTGCTCTTCTTGGCATGCGCCCACCATCCTTCTTGTAGCTTACCGTCGTGGTGTCTTTCGTCTGCTATACATGTGGTATATGGGTTGGCTAACAAAAACTTCTAGGCATAACAAAACCTAGCGAAATAACATCCATTTCTTTTATGCATCTGCATTTGCGATGTTTCTTACATAGTCTCATTGATCATATGGATTTTCTGTTATAAATAATTATCACGAGGATAAGTATAACAAGAGCTCTTTCGGTCTGTTCGACCATGCTTCTCATCCATTTAAATCCGACTATAATACGAAGACTTGGATATATAAAACCAAGTTTGGGAATAATTCCTTATTTAGAAGAGACCGATCACAGAAAGAAAATTCAATCATTGGAAAAGACGAGTGAGTGAGTGATGAACAAAAATATTGCATCCTTTCATTGGAAAAAACGACTAGAGTTCGGTTTGATCGACCAAAGCTTAGAATGACAATCAAAAAATTATTTTGGTAACCGAGTGTTCTGGACCAAGACCCAAACTAATCTCGGGATCGGATGTCAGTTACATGATTTGGAATATACGCTCCTCTCCAAACTTGAGGATCGAATTCGAGGCGGAAGAAACGTTTTGCGCATATATTTCACCGGTTGAATTATCCAAGTTTGGATAACCAAATAATTGTTTAGCCAATAGAACTAAAGAGAAGTCCAACACTAACAACAGCTCTCGCTGAAGCAATTGTAATAGTCAGACCATGTTCTTCGCGACTTACAATTCTACGTAGGTCATTGATATAACTAGTGGTTCTATCGATTGTTTTTCTCTGCATTGCCTGGGATTAAAGAGCAAGGTAATCCTAGAATGCTTTAGTGTATAGCTCGTGCCACTGGTGTAATCACAAGGACAAAATCTCAGTATTATTCATCTGCTATACTTCTACACACCAACACATTGTCGGCTCATCTTCTTGAAACCTGCTTTGGGTGATTTCTACTGTTTTGGTGATTTCCATGTCAATCCAGATTTCTACAAAAGCTGTAAAGAAGCTAGGTTTCTTCTGGTGCTTATCTAATGCTAGCATGACCCTGATTATTTTCCATCTAATAGCTTAATCTACCAGTTATACTAAACATCCAATGATTTCCTCGGCTTCTCTTAAGCTAGCTCATTTTCTGATTCGCAATATAAAGAAGACTTGAGGCTTAGAATCTTACCTGTGTTAGGCTGAAGATGAGATAATAAGCTTTACAGCATTCAGCCATGGTGATTATCTAATGCTCCTTGAATACACCCGGTCATTTTGAATGAAACCCATAACTGCTTGTGGTATCTACATATGAAAAAAATATGAACGACTTCAGTTTCTTTCTTGCTGACCCATCAACAGCTTGATCTGATGTTAGTGTTCCTTTTTCTCCTTTGTTTTCCCTTGGTCTGGGCAGCATGAAGTCCACAATTGATCGGTACAACAAGACAAAGGAGGAAAATAATCAAATGAGTGACCCAGCATCTGAAGTCAAGGTACTAATAAAACATCAATTAAAAGAGAATTCTGTGCAGACACATTCCTGTTCTTCTAAGCTTGCCGAAACATTCGCGTATATACTAACATACTTCTGAATCATTCTAGCGCTGACAATGGCATATATGACAGAACGTGCTAATTTATTACCGAAAATTTAGATAACTGCATGTGTTAATGAAGCTGGTCCTGGTGCAAAAACCTCTTGGCTTTGTGCAATTATTTTCTTCTTCAGTGACAAGATATAGAATGACTCGGATCTTAAAAGCTATTGACTTTCATCACTAACCTCGAAAATAAATATGACTCCAACCACAGTATTTGGATTTCTAGCATTCAATTGAAACATGTGAATGCATGGATGTCTAAATACCAGAATATTTTCACAAGTTTCTCATATTATTCAAATAAACAGAAATTTCACTCTAACTGTGCTGGTCTCTGAAATTTAAACAGATCCATTCCGCTGAAGGCAGGGTATTTAATTCCGATCTATTAGATATGTCAGGAGACTTCCGTCATGACGAAGGTTCCCTGAATGTTAGAATGGCTTAGTCTAGGTAAGGAGGAAAAACATGCAAGGACGGAAATGTGTAGTACGCCTACAACTAGGATAGACAATTTTAGCTAACTAGTTGTGCAGGTACCTTAGGGGCACCGGATAATTCATTTGTAATTGTGCAGCAGAAATAACATAGCAGAACCATGTAGGCATGATATATTCTACTGAGCTGATGATCTTACTAGGCCAAGATGTTGTTACCATGACTCATGAAGTCATTGCTGTTCCGGTTGCAAAAACCAGGCACGCTGCACCGTAAGATTTAAACATCGGTCAGAATATTAAAAAAAAAAGAACAATCTACCGCACTATATATTAGATTCCTGCGCACGTGTAGATAACAAAATAAAGGATATGATTGAAACGTTGTTTGTTGAGTATGATCAGCTGGCCATGATAAATAAATCTGTTCTAAATTTGTGAAATCTAACAATTTTACAATCTTTCTGCTGATTTCAGGATATTTGTAATCATGTTATCACATATTCCATTGCAGGGTGCATATACTAGAAAAATATCGTCTCTTTTGCATTTTAGCATTATTAAGTTCCAGTACACATGAAAATCTGCGTCCTATTTTCTAGTTCTGGCAAAGGGAGGTGGTGGCATTAAGGCAACAACTGGACAGCTTGCAAGAAAATCACAGGTAAGTCAACTTTTCTTCTTTCCTGTGGCCTACAGATTAGTGTTTCGCTTCATTCAAAGCAAATGGACTAAGAATCAGAACTAAGGAATAGAAGTCCAAAACGTAAATGCCATATTAGCCCTAATCCTTACGGTCCGAGCTTTTTAAGCACTAGAAAATGGTTTCCCGGTAAAGGGCATTTCATTTGATCACAAAACGAGAGACTGCCCTCTAAGAAAGCTCCTAGAGCAAAGATATGTCGTCTTGTAAATAAAAACACTGGATCCTAGAGACTTGGAATAAGGCTATGGGTGTTGCAAAGACTGGAAATTTCCTGGTATTAGAAATTATTTTCTTAATGCAAACAGGCAAATGATGGGACAAGAGCTTTCTGGACTAGGTGCAAAGGGATTACAGAATTTGGAGAACCAGCTTGAAATGAGTCTTAGAGGGGTTCGAATGAGAAAGGTTAGACTGACACTATGAAGAAAAGAATATGATTCTCAGCAACATATGACTCAGTACGCTGATAGTGCAATTCTATCAAATTCCACAGGACCAGAGGATGATTGATGAGATACAAGAATTGAAAAGAAAGGTAATCATTGCTTTTGGAGTTCTCATCAAAATCTGCTTGAAAATTTCATTGGCAAGAGCTAGTCTTATTTCTGTTCTTCAGGGAACTTTCATTCACGAGGAGAACGTGGAACTCTATAAAAAGGTAAACGGAAGTCATCAAGAAAAAAAAGGAAGCTAGTTTTAATATTTTTGCTGCAGCAGAAGAGTTTTTCTGATCAATTGTATTAGCAAGTATGGTTTACTAGGTATCCATCATGTGAACTAATATATGCATGACATGTCAAAGAGATCCCTAAAGCAAGTAATCTTCAACACCAGGTACACGAAGAAAGGGCCAAAAATGGTACAAACATGGATTCCCTTCTCACAAATGGCCTAGATATAGGAGATGCATCAAGCGTACCTGTGCAACAGATCTACGAGCCATTGACAAGTGGCACCAAGTTAGGGTACTATTCCCTCTTCCCGGACATTGTTCCTGAGCAGTAACTTTTAGCTGCAACATTGACCAAAACAGCAGCAGGAAATTGCTACTTCCATTAACAAAGTAGACCAAGACTCCAAACATTTTCTTCTACTATCTAAGATGTGGTATATAAGTTTTTTTTTTCAGATTCATGTATTTGATGATAACTGAATGCAGTGTTTCATGTAAAGATAAGATCAGGTGAAATAAATAAAAAGTAAACTGTGCTGCTGCAGCAAATGTCATTTCAAAGAGGATGTAGAAGTAAATGGAAACAACAATTATCACAGATGAGTAGAATATGAAGACATATACATAAACTTTACAAAACAAAGCACAATCAGTAGAAGTTGCAGGAACCAGTAAAGCACATGTACACCCACGGTCGTAAAGATGGTTAACTGTGACACACTCAACGCTCTTGCTATGTTCTCAGGAAGAACGAAAATGCGTCGTTTCCACTGCAATAGAGATAGATTCTATTTTTTTCATTTCCATCTCTATTTGTGGTAAGAATGCCTGACTACATGACGGCTGATCTCCAAGCGACATTGTTAAAAACGTTTCAATGATTTGTCAATTCATTAAAATCACAAGCCAAGAGAAAGCTCGATGTGCATTATACCAAGAGGTCCAAGACTCCATCTCTATTTGTGGTAAGAATGCCTGACTACAAGAGAAAACTCGATTTGTCAATTCATTAAAATGAAGTTCCAGAAATTTTTGGAAAGAAAATATGAACAAGCAAAAAGAGAAATCGACAAAGATGCAAGCAAACAGCTTAAAAACTGTCAATATAACAATTTTGTCTCTTCTTTAAGATGGATCACAAACTCTTTAGTTAAGATCTCTCCATAATAATTTTATACTTGCAGGGGGCACGCATAACAGACACAAATCTACTTACAGTAATACATAAAAATGAAGTGTATGCGTGTCTCGGATTCAAGCGCCATTACATATCTTATTTTAAGCATGGATAACCATATTACCAGCTAACTGTCAGTATATATCTAGAACTAAGATGGAAAAGTCTAATTTGACTTAAAAAACAGTCCGAGGCTTTATGTGCAACATAAACTAAATCACAAGCCTTTGCTTTCCCTCTCTAACTGAAGCAAAGCAGTAAACACAGCAACATCAATCCAGCTCTATAAAATTGGTTAAAAAACGAACAAAATCTGGAATCACAGTGATCTGCAAGTTGGTCAAGGATTTGAATCCTAGAAATTTATTTTGGGCAAAGTAATTTGATTAATCTATTTTGAGCAGCCTTTGTTTTACACAATGGTAACCCACTTCAGAAATAGTTTGGTTTCACACAAAACGTCTTCAGATTTCATCTTTCCCATGGGCCTGTGCACACATTCCCCTTGTCTCACAGTAAAAATAATAATAAACTAAAAATGAACTAATCGCTCAACATCACGAATAAGTAACAACTACATATTTTTTTTGGACAGTTGGGTATCCTGGAGCAAGGTCCAAACTAATTTTGAGGGCGGAAACTAAACACGTGATTTGGATTATACACTCCCTCTCCAAATTTGAGGTTTAAACTCGGTGCGGGACAAACATTTTACACTTCCATTCCACCGTTTGAACTACCCAAATTTGGGCAACAACTACATATTTTTGTTTTATCACAAATCTATTATTCTAGAATGTGGATATTGTAATCTCCCACTCATCTAAGCTCCAGTTATCTTGCATATGTACCAAAATGACCCTAACTTCAGAGCGCAACAAGTAAGGATTTATCTTCTCATTAACAAAATGAAGCCATAACACAAGCTGTGACTAGCTCAAGCTACTCAAGCTATTATGTATTATGCAAATACCCAAATTCCAAAACAATCATACTTTGCAGTAATCGAAAGCAGATTGACATGGAAACAAAGCAGAAACCGAAAGAAAAAATCCATTCAAGGATAAAAGGAAATGCCAAAGTTTAAGAGGAGAAATGTAAACAAAACATAGAACCTGAAACGTTCAACGAATGCAGAATCAGGGGCTAAAAGCCTAAAACGCAATAATACCGCGTTTTCTCCCGCGTTCTCCTCAACCAAACAGATCTTAGACACTACGATTAAACCCTACCACTAAACACAGACAAAGTCACGTCGCGTCGCAACTACACAGTACACATATAGACGAACACGTGAAAACCACGAAAACGAAAACAAAATCAAGGATATTCAGGAAAGAAACGATAGAAAATCTCGAACAAAAACTAAAGATAATTGGAACCTACGCCTAAGAAAGTGAAAATCCACGAGAATAACGATCTGAGATTCGAAAAAAGGCATGAATTCTCTAACCGGAATCCTGAGAAAATCGAAGAATCTGTCTCCGGCGAGAGAGAAAAATATCTTCGGCGACGGATCTGGAGAAAATTCTCAGAGAAAATGCACGAAGAGAGAGTTATGAGAATCAGAAAAAGGGAAGAAAATATCTATGCGCCTATGCGGAGAAGCGAGCTTGATCGGGTTTTAAATATCTACCGTGGAGCGTGCGTGGGGCGTTTTCGTGTACACGTCATCAGATGGATAGTACCATTTAACAGATCATCGGCCCGTTTATTATTTTATTAGGCTCGGCCTATAACAAAAAGCTTTTTTTTTTTTTTGCAACTTGTATCATTTGTTTCACTATTATTATGTTGGGGAGTACTTGCAAAATACATCCAACTTGCTGCCGACATATAATTTAAGTGTTTATGCATTTATCTATTTTATCTTAGACAAAACTAAAACCATATTTGTTTTGTAATATATATTTATATAGCACTTTGTATTGTAATATATTTTATAATAAGAGGCAACGAAGATTTATGTTTATATTAGATCAACGGTTGTATTTTTGTTACAACAAATTGCAATATATTTTCGTGATATTTGCAGCTTCGTCCTCCAATATTAATAGGATTAAAGGCCACAAAAGTCTAAAATACCAAAATTAAGTAAGCTATATGGTTAAAACAATGACGTTTAGTATCAAGATAAAGTAGATCTATTTTTTTATAAAGTATATCTATTAATATGTGGTCATCAATTTTTGCCAATGCATGGTATAAGTTATAGATTCATCATTACATAATTATTATTATTATTATTATTATTATTATATATATATATATATATTGCTAGTGCAAGACTTAACATAATCACTAACTTGCCATAGAAAAATAGTGTTAAAAGTTTTAATTTTTTATAACTAAATATTTAATTAAGATTTAAACTAATTTCAAAATTGAAATATTAAATAAATATTTAGTATCATTCCAAAATTGAAATAACCCAATCCGAAACTAAATCCGAATAAGTCACTCCTGATGCTAACTCCAAATTTCAAATTCTAGAAGAAAAAAAAATTGTGATAAAAGTTTTAATTCTTTATAACTAAATATTTTAATCAATATTTAAACTAATTCCGGAATTGAAATACTACGTAAATATTTTAATAACCAATATTATCATCTAACGAATATTTGACATGCGTTTGTTATATTTTGAATTCATATATATATATATATAAATCTTCCCCCTAAAACTACATATATAACAAAATGAACGTAAATGAAAAAATAAGCATTTTGGCCCAAGTCTGGATAGCAAAACGGTAAGGTGAAAACACAAAGTGCTCTCTTATTCTGAGTTCAAATTCCACCTTGGATAAACCATTACAAAAAAAAACCATTTTGATAATTTGGTAATAATATATATATTAGTAATAAAAAAAATACGCGAGCAGAAAAATTAAAGAAAATACATTTTCTTTATAATACGTATATTTTTATTATTTGACCATCATGATTCATGAATATATATATATAAAAAATAAGCAAATAATTACTTTGAGAATTTGTATTATAGGTGCATGCGCTCTCCCATAGTTTCATGCATGTTCGAGAGAAACAACAAAGGGATCCGTTCCTGTTTCGCAAAACCACGTTTAAAAAAAGACAACATAGACTTAGACAAATACGTGGCTCGTTTTTAAGAGCCCACGTTGACAAACATTTTAATTTTTAATTTTTAATTTTAAAATTGTTTAGCGTCAATTTTAAACCACATAGTATGTCCACGTGGACAGATCCAAACCACCCAATGTTGTAGGTTCGCTCTAGATTCTTCTCGGTTTAGGCATAATTGATTAATTGTCAGAGTTTAAATATAATTATAAATGGAGGAAAGACATTTGTGGGTTTGGTTGCCACTTGTCATTCGGATATTTAGATGTCATGATAGGGGCACTTACCTCCTTTTTTTATGTTTTGATATTAGCAAGTTCGAATGATATATAAGACCGTAATTGGACAACCCAATTGGCCAAACCAAGATTAGAGGAGATGTCGGTCTTTTTACCGACTAATTTTAGGGTGAAATTTTTGGAATTTATATTTCATTCACTTCGATGATTATTTTATTGAAATTTTTGTATTTTGAAATTTTTTGTATTTGTTCGGTTTTTATATTGAATTTAATTTGTTTTGTTTTAAATTAATATTTAATTTTAATTGATAAAATATTCAATGTATATAAAAGTTGTTTTAAACATTTCATATTGATTAAACTTTTTATTTTAGAAAAATTATGTTTTTTCGCTTGTATATCAATTCTAGCTAAAAAAAATTAGAGAAAATACCAAAAAAAAATTAATTTTGACAAAAAAAATTCTGAACTTTATTTTTTGTCAAATAAATATTAAACTTTTTAAATGAAACTAAAAAATTCTGAATTTTTTAATTGATCCAAAAAATACATGAACTTTTTTCCGATTATTAAAAAAATACTAAACTTTTTTAGTGATACAAAAAAAAAATATAAACTTTTTTCGATTGTCAAAATAACTAACAAAAATAATTTGACGTGTTTACATCTCATTGTGTCACACCAGTCATTTTGTTTATTTTGACAATTATTGAAAAATTAAGTGTTTATTTTGTCAAATTTAAAAAGTTTAATTTTTATTTGATAAAATAAAAATGTTTAATATTTTTTTGTCAAAATTTGAGAGTTTAGCGTTTTTTTTTAAATTTTCTCAAAATATAATTATATATTATTCGATTAGGATGCATGACCAAATTGAAAAGACAAAATTAATCTATACAAAAAATAATTATTCTCTAGACAAAATTAATTGAGGTCCAGGACGGGTTTGTATTTACCGATCGATATTTTTAGTATAAATTCTTCCATAGGTTGGGAACCCACCAACCCTACCTTAATGATCTAAGATGGTTACCAGTATGAGTGAACTTTTCAGATTTTGATTCTGACTTCCATTTGGTTATTTTTAATTTTAGAACAATTATATCTATCAATTTTAAATTGAATCCAATTTCTATTCAATCCGATTCTGTTTCGATTTATGTTCCACCCGATTAAATACGTTCGGCTTTTACAGAATTTGTCATCTAAATAGTTTTATATTCTATTTTCCGAATTTATAACAATTATAAAAAAAAAAAATTCAATATTTATATCAGATTTTATTTTCATATATGAAAATGCATTATAATGTTCGGTTTCGTATAACTGAATCGAAATATTCGCCTTCATTTATGGTAACGAATATGCGTAAACGAAACCCAGTCTTCCAGATTTTGAAAGGTCGTCGGCAGCGTATCACAACATCAATGATTAATCGAATTCAATTTGAGAATTGTTTTTTTTATTAATTATTCGATATATTCCATCCGTGGTTTAGGAGAATTTTTATCAAAACGAGTATTTTTATCAACAAAAATCAAATCTAAACTAGATTTAAACCGAAAATCAAATATGAATAAAGTTATATTTTATAATATTTACATATCTTCGGAGCGAATCTCTACAAGATTTTCTTATTGTATTATATATATATAGAGAATAATACAAAAAGGCCGATTTGTCAACTTTAGGAGATCTGTCTTTATCACCCCAACGGTGTTTTTCCTTCGTAACATAATGAGAGTCAATGTTACAAGGCCCAAAAACTATACTCGAGTTCAATGTTTCGTGGCTTTTGTGGTTGCAAATATGGCATATAAAATGATTGGAATTTATAAAAATGTAGAAGAAATATTCATATAACAGTTGAACTTATTTTGTCTCTAGAACCCATTTATTGATCTTATTCTGCACCATAATCAATCAATATAGGAAAACTAAATAGTGAAACCGTTTGATACTTTGAACACTTTTGGGGCAGTCTAACAAGATGAATAAACGTGGAATCAAATAAAAGAAACGAAACAAGATATCGTTTAACTCATACCCAAAATAAAAATTTTATAATCGCAATTTACAGAATAATATCTTTCTTACAATATAAATAAATACAATTATATATATATAAATAATTATTAAAAACATAAATATTTACATCATTAAAAAAATAATAAAATAAAACAGATTATTTAATCTCAATCACACTCTTTTGTATTATTTTTTTTAAATTTATCTACCACAATTTAAAAAATTCTAATTTCTGATAATCCCATCGATTACCTTACAATTCAAACTATAGACCCATGTTTTTCCCACAACAGATAAGCCACAGTTGAATTGTAAATGGTGTCAGTTTACTTTGCTTGAACAGAAAAATCACGACAAACCCAAGCTTCACGGCCGCAGCTAAATTCCGAGATCGACAAATTACATCATCGAAGGCCATTCCAATCTCTCGTATGGATGATTTAGAGTTAGAAAGATCCATCGTGAAGAGATATACCTGTCCCTTGTCGAGAAAGAGACCGCCCCACTCATCAAAAGAACATCCGGATCTACGACTAATCGGAACCCGAACCCATAAGCAGATTCTGGAATCGCAACCGAATCGCCGATTTTTGCCGGTTTTAAAGATGGGGAGAGATCGACGGACTGTATTGGATACGGATTCGCCGATCGAACTTGAAAGTATTCTGTGTCTGCCTCCTTTCTCCAGAGACGTATTTATATAATGGGATTTTAGGGTTTGACGGGGAGCTAGGGTTTGCTATAGAGCCGCAGTTTTTTTTAAAATGTGACCTACTTATGGGCCTGGGCCGGCCCATTTGCAAGCCTGTCTACCAGTGGGAAATCTAAACGATGTCGTTTCACTGGGGGACGCGTCATACGTCGAGTGACGTCACGCACCACGAAAAAAAAAGGGAACATTTTGAAAAGCGAAGCGATGGGAATTGGGCAAACGATGATCTTTACTACGAACACTTCACCGCAAGATTTAAAACATATGTCAGACTAATGAAAAAGAACGACCAATTATATCAAAAGAGAGATTTCCCCTGTTTGGATCGTGAGAAATAGAGGGGAAAAAGGAGAGAAAATTTGTGTTAGAGAAAGAGAAAATGCCGAGAAAATTTTCCGCTATGCATTTACTTTGGAAAGAGTCTCTTTTATTCAAAGTCCACTGACTTAATCAGACTCCTCTACTTGCCAGCTTTTGCTTTAGGCAACTGTTACACAAAAGGGTCTTGCATTTTCAACTGTTGATGCAAATTATAATTTTTATACTTTTTGGTATTTAATCACATTTGTATTGAAGGACTAAGTTGCAAATATCTTAAGAATATATTGCAATTTATTCTAACATAGATTTTTAAATTAAACTATTCAATGTATTCTACGCCCAAATTTATAGGTAGCATTGTTTAAGGTATAATATCATTGACGGCGTGATATTTTTAAAGTAAAAAAAAAAGACAAAAAGGGTTTGATGGGGAGTTTAGGGTTTTGCTCTAGAGCTCCTCTCTCTCACGCCGCAGATTTTTTTTTTTTGTTAAAGCAACAAAAAAAAAGTCCACTCTTCGGCCGAATCCAACTATGGCGGTGGCCCATTAGCGATCTGGCTGTGTGAAATCTAAAACGATGTCGTTTCAATCGGGTTCGCATCTTATCGTCACCCGAAAATAAAATGGGTTATAAACTCATTTCTAAGTGCCACATTTACTTTTGTATTCAAACGGTTTTATGGGTTATTTAAATACATTTCTCCCAATTTTAACTTCCAAAATAATAGCTTGCAAATTTCACGTCATAACAAA